TTGGGTAGATTGATATTGCTCCTACAGGATTGGTTGGGTTTTGAAACTTTTTTAGACAAATTTTCCTGTTTTCTTTGGTTTTCCCAATTTGGTCTAGGAGGTAGTAAAATCATTGGTATTCTTATATTCAGTCCATCTTATGCATCAGGCCGTCTAGTGCCTCTCTCATCACTGGTTGCGGTATACAAGCTCACATGTTTGAATGACTGCATGCAAAATGTCCATCGAAAGTTAACTTAGTACTTTGCAAAAACTGGTCTTTTACTAATTTCTTTAATAGGTGGCCAGTGCAGGATTTGGCACAGATCACATTGCTGCAATGGAGCTTCTAAATAGTGTTAAATCTGCTGGTGGATTGGCTGTTGCTATTCTGTTGAAGCCATTTAGTTTTGAGGGACAAAGACGAGTGGAAGAGGTAATATTACTCATTGTGTCTTTATTTGTTTACGAGCCATTTGTTCCCTCAAATTGATACTTACGATCCAATATAAATGACTAAATAATATAGCCACAATGTTACTAGCAAAACATGATCTATTTTTCACTGGGTATTCTTAAGAATTCAACATCAGATTCTTACTCGGAAACAGCCTATATCTTTGAGGGGCATGTCATGGTTTGCATGCACATGAACATGTCAGCATTTATGGATAGTTTGTATTTGAGGATAATCCTCTAGAGAAATCGCTTTATCCGAAATGACCTTCGCTTAGTGCGTTGCTAGAAATCTACTGGGTCATCGATATTTTTTAGAGATGGCACATTTTGCGTAAAATTTCCTGACACTTTAAATTAAATGGTGTAATCATCATATTTTTTATGATCAAATTTGCTCGTGATTAATTTTTTTTTCTTAAGATAATTTAAGATGGATCTAGAAGAGGAAAGACAACTTGACTTTTTTCACAAATCAGTTACAGCTGAGCCTTTCATGATTTGTTTGGCCCTACAAGATGGAGTTTATCTAATCCCATTAAGTGTGTCAACTTTCTTATACTGCAGGTAGATGATTTGGTGAATAAGCTTCAAAAGTTCTCACACTTACTTATAGGTGAGTTTATTTGCTTTATTTTGTAAGTAAATTTTAATTTGACATCCCCATATTTTAGCACACTGACTTTATTCAGTTTTACTATTATGCATGTCCAAAAGCATGCCTAAAATCCTTATCCAGATAAGTATCTTGTGCTCTACTCGACTAAAATATAAAAGTTCATAATTAGAATGTATCCAAGTATAAATTCTATCAATGCACATCTAGACCAATCTCATGATGTGTACGGCATCTCGGTTATATTGATTCTATCAATGCACATCTAGACCAATCTCATGATGTGTATGGCATCTCGGTATATTGTAATGTTTTATGGGTTGTACTGTTTTTACAACTTAAATTTCACAAAGTAGAAAATTGGTCAACCTAATCTGTGTTCCATTGCTCGATTACAATTTGTGGAGAAGTGCTGTATTATACTGGTGCAGTAGATTGCATAACCATTGGCCAAATGTACCACAATTAGTTTGATATAGATTTCACTGCTTTGCTTGATGTGCACTTTTAAAATTATAGACAACACGTTTTTGCAGTAAAAATTATTGTTCATGCTCACATATTTCTTATCATTCTCAATTTCCAGCACTAATCTGCTTATCTTGTCAGTTGTTGAAGCGGATTCTCTACTTAAGGCAGAAATGGAAACATTAGCTGAGGCTTTAGACAGTGTAAACAATGCTGTCTTCTTGGCTATGCACACGATCTCTATATTGATGTCTGTAAGTTTACTTCCTATGATTGGGTGCAATTTCTTGTAAAACTCCTGCGTAACCTTGTGATTTTTGTTGGTACATCAGGAGGTGCATTTAAAGATACTTAATGCACCAAATGAGCAGATGAAAGAAGTCAAATCATTTGAGGTACTACAGGTAGGAGATATCATATGCCAGTGTAATTTTGCTTTCTCATTAGATGTTTATTGCCATTTTTTTGTGCATTGCTAAGGAGTAGATGCTACCATTTTGATTTTGAAAACTAACATTTCTGTTGATAGCTATTAGAAACCTATGGAGAAGCTAAAGTTGGGTTTGGAGCAGGCTATAACCTTAACTCAGCAATTACACAGGCTGTCTTCAATTGTCCCTTCCTTTCTGGTGATTTCAAGGTAAATCAGTTTCTGCAACTATTGCCTTTTCCTCATCACGTTCTTATTAAATTGTCCTTTCTAATACCACCTGAAGAGTTAGTCTCTTTGATACATAGGTTTCTGGAGGGTAAAACATGGTCAATGGTTTGCTGAAAATAAGTGCTACCTTCTAACCTTTGTTAACAGTCATATTCCATAAGCTATGTCAATGAGTCATGTCGCTTAGCTATATGGAGAGGTAGGTTTAGTTTTTTAAGTGTTAGGTGGAGTTATCCAGCTAAGTTCGAAGGATTTATGTGTCTTCTAGGCTTCCAGCTCATGTATACTGTTGAGTTATTTAGATACATTAAGCTAATTAGTTAATATTGTAAGGGCTTATTTGTAAGAGTACATTAATATAAAGGGTACCTCTCTGTGAGAAAAGAGAACCCTAATCTTTACCTAAGAAAGTCTACATGGTATCAGAGCCATGTTGCGGCGCCTCTGGGAGCTGGGCGTGATCGTGATCCTTGTCGTGTGAATCGCGCACAGGGTCGTGTCCTCGAAGAGCCCGACGAAGACGAAGATCAGGACGACGAAGCCCGACGATCCGACGAAGATCTCAAGATCCGACGAGGCTTGCAGCAAGATCCGACGAGATCCGACGCTGCTGGAGACGAGGGCGACGCATATCCGACGAGATCCGACTAAGATCTCAAGATCCGAGATCCGACGAAGATCCGACGGCCGATCAGTTTCTTCCGACGCTGCTGGAGACAAGGGCGAAGCTGCTGAAGTTTGCACGATCGTGCTCGAGGAGGCGGAGAAGTCGTTCGTGTCCCAGATTCAGGATTTTGGGAACAGTTCGCTGTGCTAGAAGAAGAAGATGAAGGGGAAGTTTCCAGCGGTTTTTTAGAATCTTTGATTCTCATCAGGTGCTGAAAAGTTGGATTTGGGGGAACAGTTCGCTGTGCTAGAAGAAGAAGATGAAGGGGAAGTTTCCAGCGTTTTTTTTTTGGCATCTTTGATTCTCATCAGGTGCTGCAAAGAGAGATTAGAAGGGTAGATTGGTAGAGAAGAAGCTATAAAAACTCAGAGTGGAACTTCCCAAATCGACGAAGGCAATGAATGACTGATTTGGGGGCTTAAAAAAAAGTTAGTTTTTTTTATTTGGGTGTTTTTTTATTGGGGGGAAGAGAAGACGAAAAAGGGGATCTGTATCAGATGAGCAGGTAGTTTGGTTCTGCTACAGTAAAAAAAAAAGGGTAAAAAAAAAAAGGAAAGAGAGAGGTTTTTGATTTGTAATAGTTTATTTAGGTTTCCTCGACAAGTCAGTCCTAGAACTGATGAGAGAAGAGCTGATATCTCACTTTGTTGAGATATCTTGCTTCTTGGTTCTTGTTTCCTTGGTGAAACAAGAATTCTTGTTGATCTATCTATCTTGTTGTACTGTCGAAGTGCTGCCGGAATTTTTTCGTTGCGCACCACAAGAATAGAAGTTGGACCGATGACAAAGACTGAAAAAAATACGATGGAGGAGATCATCAAGAAGTTGAACAACTTGAGGGTATTCCAGATTGAGAAGGAGATCAGCGCTATAGTCCAGGGGGAGAGGACTGTACAGGAGTACGTCACAGAGCTGGAGCGCTTGTGGCTCGATCACGATCACTTCTCGCCCCTAGCGAGCTGCAAGGACCCTGAGTGCAAGGAGCGTGATGCCTCTTTGTAGAAGAGGACCATGTTGTTTCTCCGAGGTTTGGCTCCAGCGTATGAGCAAAGGACGGCATTGCTACTAACCCAGACGAAGATCCCACCACTGGAGAAGGCAGTCTCGGCCATGATACAGGAGGAGAGTCGTATCAGGCTACGGTCTGAAATAGGTGGACTTACAGGAGAGAAGTCTGCACTGGTGGTATCCAACCCGGATAACACTGGATTCAGAAGGGAGACTAGGCAGTGCTTCAACTGCAGAGAGGTAGGACATCTGAGACAGATGTGTCCTAAGCCACCTAGGGAAAGGAACTGGGGTGAACATGGTCAGACTCGTGGCCGTGCAGGTCGAGGAGGCAGGGGGCGTGTAAGCAAAGGAGTTGCTCACCTAGCTGTGACAGATGAGTCTCAGACTACTGCTGGGATGACTGGAGCTGAAATAACAGAGCTGGAGGAACTACGTCTGTTCAAGCTTCAGGCTGAGAGTTCGAATGGCAAGGGACAAGTCACCCAGGATCTGGCTACCACTACATGCTTTGGTAACTTTATTGGTTATGCTCATGCGAACAAAGGTACACAGGTTCAGGCACTTGCATCCACTAAAACTCATGTTGATTGGATCATAGACTCAGGTGCATCTAGGCATGTCACAGGAACATCTAGTGAGTTTGCATTATATTATCCGAGTAAGCATATGCATCCTGAGACAGTTCAGACGAATTCTTATTGATCTATCTCTCTTGTTGTGCTGTCGAAGTGCTGCCGGATTTTTTTGGTTGCGCACCACAAGAATACAAGTTGGATCGATGACAAAGACTGGAAAAAATCCGATGGAGGAGATCATCAAGAAGTTGAACAACTTGAGGGTATTCCAGATTGAGAAGGAGATCAGCGCTATAGTCCAGGGGGAGAGGACTGTACAGGAGTACGCCACAGAGCTGGAGCGCTTGTGGCTCGATCACGATCACTTCTCGCCCCTTGCGAGCTGCAAGGACCCTGAGTGCAAGGAGCGCGAGGCCTCTTTGCAGAAGAGGACCATGTTGTTTCTCCGAGGTTTGGCTCCAGCGTATGAGCAAAGGACGGCATTGCTACTAACCCAGACGAAGATCCCACCACTGGAGAAGGCAGTCTCGGCCATGATACAGGAGGAGAGCCGTATCAGGCTACAGTCTGGGATAGGTGGACTTACAGGGGAGAAGTCTGTACTAGTGGTATCCAACCCGGATAACACTGGATTCAGAAGGGAGACTAGGCAGTGTTTCAACTGCGGAGAGGTAGGGCATCTGAGACAGATGTGCCCTAAGCCACCCAGAGAAAGGAACTGGAGTGAACGTGGTCAGACTGGTGGCCGTGCAGGTCGAGGAGGCAGGGGGCGTGTAGGCCAAGGAGTTGTTCACCTAGCTGTGGCAGATGAGTCTCAGACTACTGCTGGGATGACTGGAGCTGAAATAACAGAGCTGGAGGAACTACGTCTGTTCAAGCTTCAGGCTGAGAGTTCGAAGGGCAAGGGACAAGTCACCCAGGATCTGGCTACCACTACATGCTTTGGTAACTTTATTGGTTATGCTCATGCGAACAAAGGTACACAGGTTCAGGCACTTGCATCCACTAAAACTCATGTTGATTGGATCATAGACTCAGGTGCATCTAGGCATGTCACAGGAACATCTAGTGAGTTTGCATTATATTATCCGAGTAAGCATATGCATCCTGAGACAGTTCAGACTGCTGATGGGACATCCCAACCCATCAGGGGTACTGGCTCGGTCCATTGCACTTCATATGTTACCTTGTCATCAGTATTGCATGTTCCTTCGTTTCCAGTTAACTTACTCTCAGTTAGCTCTCTCATTGATCAATTAAATTGCACCGTGTTATTTGATCGAGATTTGTGTGTCTTTCAAGAGAAGGAAACGGGGAGGAGGATTGGGACTGGTATCAGACGTGATGGTCTTTGGTATTTGGACAGGGAGACAGCAATGATTGCTGCTGCTGTTAGCGGAGGGCCAGAGGCAGAAGCGATGCTTCAACATTGCCGGTTAGGGCATTTATCTTTTGAGAGTTTAAATAGATTAGAACCTGAGTTAATGAAGAAAGTGGATAGAAAAGAGTTATTTTGTAATGCATGTGAACTTGGAAAACATACTCGTTCTACTTATAGAATGATTGGTCTTCGAAGTTGTGAACCATTTGTACTTGTCCATTCTGATGTTTGGGGACCATGTCCTACTACCTCTATCAGTGGTTTTAGATGGTTTGTTACTTTCATTGACTGTTATTCATGTATGACCTGGATATACATGATGAAGCAGAAATCAGAGGTTTACAAATGTTTTCAAGATTTCTCAGCCTATGTGAAGACACAGTTTGGAGTGCAGGTGAAGATTCTTCGAACAGATAATGAGACTGAGTATGTCAATAAGGAATTTGCAGCTTTCATCTCTAATCAGGGAATTGTTCATCAAACCACCTGCCCAGACACCCCTGCTCAGAATGGGGTGGCTGAGCGTAAGAACAGGCATCTACTGGAAGTGGCACGCTCATTGATGTTGACAATGAATGTGCCTAAGTTTTTATGGAGTGAGGCTGTTATGACAGCAGCTTATTTGATCAACAGGATGCCATCAAGAGTATTAGGGATGAAGACACCATGTGAGATGCTTTTGGGCTCGAATGTTTTTGTTGTTCCACCAAGAGTGTTTGGATGCACATGTTATGTGAGAGATCACAGGTTGATGGTGAGTAAACTGGATCCACAAACAGTTAAATGTATCTTTGTTAGCTACTCATCAAGTCAAAAAGGATACAAGTGTTGGTGTCCCACTGAAAGAAGGCTGTTTGTCAGTATGGATGTGACTTTTCGGGAGTTTGAACCTTTTTATGGGGAGAAGACGGAGTTAAGTTCCTTGTTTGGAGATGGCTCTACTGATGCCAGTAGAGAGGGGGAGAATGAGAATGAGAATGATATTATGGTCGGGATGATTCCATGTCCTCTTGAGTCACCGAGTAGTGATGGTACACCGCCGAGTAGTGGTGGCGACTCAGGAGGTGACAGTCAAGGTCAGGGGGAGCTGAGAGTATACACGAGGAGACAGAAACAGCAGCATGAGCTGCCTCCCGTGCCTGTGTCAGTACCCACAAATGTTGATGACCCAAGTCTCTCCTCTCCAGTGCCTTCCTCTTCCTCTCCAGTGCCTTACTCTTCTCCTCCACCTGAGTCGATAGGTAACGATTCCTTCCCTGATACCTCTGATACTCCTGTCTTGCCCCGCAGAACCTCTAGAGTCAATGCTGGAAAACCTCCAGCTAAGTTTGATAATTGGGATACTGATATTGCGAATTACATTTCATATGCATCCATTCCACCTGCATATAAGTCATTCATTGCATCGTTGCATTCAGTGCCTGTACCTAACAACTGGCAGGTAGCTAAGCAAGATCCTAGGTGGTTGAATGCCATGCACGAGGAACTCCAGGCCTTGAAGAAGAATGACACATGAGAGTTGGTACCTTTGCCAGCTGGGAAGCGTGCTGTTGGATGTAAGTGGGTGTATACGGTTAAGCAAACTCCAGAGGGCAAGATCGACAGATACAAGGCCAGATTGGTTGCTAAAGGCTACAGCCAAACATACGGCATTGACTATGACGAGACATTTGCTCCAGTAGCAAAGATGAGTACTGTTAGAGTGTTGGTGTCATGTGCTGCCAACTTTAATTGGCCACTACATCAGCTAGATGTCAAGAATGCCTTTTTGCATGGAGATCTTCAAGAGGAGGTATATATGGAGATTCCACCAGGCTTCACTACTTCTCAAGTAGCTGGGAAGGTGTGCAAGTTGAAGAAGTCTTTGTATGGGTTAAAACAGTCTCCGAGGGCATGGTTTGATAGATTCAGGTTGGCAGTTTGTGGTATGGGGTACAAGCAGTGCAATGGTGATCATACTGTGTTTTACAGGCACTCCAAAACTCGTATCACTATCCTGGCGGTCTATGTTGATGATATTGTAATCACTGGAGATGACGCTGAGGAAATCCTACTGTTGAAGAAGAAATTGGGAGAGGAATTTGAAGTTAAAGATCTGGGGCAGTTGAAGTACTTTCTCGGAATTGAAATTGCAAGGTCGCGAAAGGGTATAGTGCTTTCTCAGCGGAAGTATGCTCTGGATCTTCTCTCAGAGACAGGGATGTTGGGGTGCAGAGTTGCATCTACTCCTATCGAGCAGAATCATAAAATGTGTGCCGAGGGTGGTGACCCGGTGAGTAAAGAGCAATATCAAAGATTAGTTGGACGACTTATATATCTATGTCATACGAGACCTGATATTACTCATGCAGTGAGTGTGGTGAGTAGATATATGCATGATCCCAGAGAGCAGCATATGGAGGCAGTTCGCAGAATTCTTAGATATATTAAAGGAAGCCCAGGAAAGGGGTTATGGTTCAGGAGTTTTGGACATCTGAGAATTGAAGGCTACTGTGATGCTGATTGGGCGGGTTGTATGGATGATCGTAGATCTACTACAGGCGAGTACAGAGCTATGGCAGTTAGTCTGTGCGAGTTGATGTGGGTCAAAAACATACTATCTGAGCTGCGCTTATTTAGAAGAAACTCCTTACAACTTTGGTGTGACAACAAATCGGCGATTAATATTGCAAACAATCCTGTTCAGCATGATCGGACCAAACATGTAGAGATTGATAGGTTCTTTATCAAGGAGCAACTGAATAGAGGAATTCTGACTGTGAGCTATGTGAAATCAGAAGAGCAGCTAGCTGATTGTTTAACAAAAGGATTAGGTTCTAGAGAGCATGATATCTTTTGTAACAAGATGGGAATGATTGATATCTATCGCCCATCTTGAGGGGGAGTGTTGAGTTATTTAGATACATTAAGCTAATTAGTTAATATTGTAAGGGCTTATTTGTAAGAGTACATTAATATAAAGGGTACCTCTCTGTGAGAAAAGAGAACCCTAATCTTTACCTAAGAAAGTCTACATATACATACTTGCATCTGAAAGCAATGAATTCTCTACAGTATCTTTGTGCTTTATTCTGTTGATGTAGTGTTGTTCCTTTGAAGAATGTAGGCACATTCGCTCTCCAGGAACATTTATTTCTTTCTTCGTTTACCTTTTCCTCAATTCATCCATCAATTCATCTATCTTTTCTTCAACCCATTCGGAGTCCGTTAGAAATTTTGCTTTATTTGGTTCCTACTATCATTGTTGATTTTCCCTTGTCAGATACCACTAAACGAGCCTGAGCTCATGGGTACTAGGGTTAGACTTCCCCTCAGATGGGTCTTCGAGACACACGGAGAGGCCTTCAGCATATACATAACTTGCATGGAGAGGACGAATAAATCAGGGGCAGATAAACATTTTTGTACTTGAAATTGATGAAGCAACCTGAAACCATCTGAAACTTGGTGCTTTGGTACCTTGTCAGAGACTAATCTACACAAGCTTAAACTGTGGCACTTTAGCTTAACAATGTTATCTTACAAACATCACTTCTCATCCCTCATTTAAGAGCTCATACGTGTGATGTTAACCTCCAGCATAATGAGTAAATTTCGCCTATTCGTAATAATCACCAAATTCATATCCTTACAAATTTTATTATCAACTTGTTGAGTCTCAACGAGAGCTATTGAAGGTAATAAATATTCCAGTAGCATCCTACACATAAGAGTGCACTATATGATGTGATCATATTCCGAAATCAATTTTATGCAAAACATCTAACTACCAATTATCCGTAGGTCACCTATCATTAAAGACTTGTGATGCATAATTAGCTGGCTTTGTTGGAAATTTGTTGGCATGTATTAAGTAGCTTGGATAAGGATTGCCATCTCAGTGGGAAAGGTTGACCGAACATTATATCAGATGTCCAGTGGAGAACGGCTCCCCCCCCCCCCCCCCCCCCAAAAAAAAAACAAAAAAAAAAACAAAAAAAAAACCACACACACACAAACAAATCAGATAACTTTATCTGACGAGTATCTGTGTAAAATGTTAATTTTCTTCACACTTCTATATCTATCTACGAGTAACATTTTTTTTCTTGGTAGGATTTCAATGGTGTAATTCTTTTTACCCTTACATGTTCTTGTGGCATGGATGAAAGTGATTTTGCATCTGCTATTCTCAACTTTCGCCGGATTACAGAGTGCACCGGGGACGTCATATTTTCTACCGTCCATGAACCTAGTCTGGAGCCAAATCTAATTGTAGCAACGCTGCTGGTAGTCGGGTAAGACTGACAAGTTTATTGGATACACTTGATAATCACAGTGATCAGGTCATAATTTTTTCAAAGTCAGTTCTGTATCAGTTAACTAAATCATATAATCTATGTGAAAGTAACACAGAGTTGCAATTTAGTAATTCAGGGCCAATACATCATGCATCACCTTTTGCTGTATTAGTATTGTATTCAACTCTTTGAAACCATAAATTTGTCTATTTACCTTAAGGAGCTGCTTAACATCCAGAGAGTGGAAAATAGCGGTAAGTCTAGGCAAATTTTGGTATTTTAATTTTGGCTAGATGAAAGTGCATGCTCAAGTAAACTTTCAGACACCTTCCTCTGTAGGAGCAAGGTCTTTTAGAAAGTCGATGCGGAGTGACAAGAGCTTGATGTTCTATTTGAGCATGAAAAGTTCCACTCTCTTACTCTTCCATGCATTAATAAACACTTGGGAAGAAAAATAGTAGTTAGCATATCAATCTTCTTTCTCCTCCACCGTCCATTAAGAAAACACTAAAAGTAAAATTATTCACGCATTATACACCATGAAAGAGGGTACCTTCCCCCCTTCCCAAGTAGTTTCCAGTTGCCATACAGCCCCCAAAGTAAGTACATTTATGCTACAGTGTGCTATAACCCAGAGGAGAATTTTTGAAAGGTTAGGTGCGGAATGTAGAACTCATTTTTTATTGTATTTTGTATGTCCTGATGATTCATTGATTTGTCTTTGCCTGTTGAGTGATTCAAGAGTCCATCTGTCGAAAAGTGGGAGACATGCCAACCTTCCAAAAAATTAACAAGGAACAAGGGCTAAATTTTACAGGTGCATTTGAAACATGTTTACATACAATATTACAAATATAGGCAACAGAATTAAGCTGATGTCTTGCATAACTTATGTGATGGGGCAGCCAAAACTATTAAATGAATCATTTTCTGGCATCCAAATTGTTCAACCTTGAACTTTTCTTTATTTTTGTTTGAAATGGAGTTGCACCTTTACTCTAATGTTCAAAAAAATTTGCATTGATCAGCCGTGAAGAAAAAAGGGTTTCTCAGAAGAAGAGCTTTTTGTCTGGTCTGGCTTTACATTTCCCCTTTCTGTTCTCCGTTTTTGGGGAAGATTTTTCAGAACACAACGGCAGCATATCTGCTTGCCTACCTAGTAAAACATCAGAGGATGCCAGACCTAACAGTGAGAGCATATCATTAAATTTAGAAGATGGTATTCTTGAAGCAAAAGTTGATGAGAAGGAAACTGATCCCAGCAGGTAACTGAAATTAATCTTCATATATAAGCTTCATTAGTTCACTAATGGCCCTAAATTTGTCTTCTGTGATGGATTGATAACATAATAAACCTATCTTGCTGTTTTAGAGAATCAATTCATAGTCATGAAATTTTGGGTGGAGATTCATCAGAAATCAACTGTGAGTCAATCACTGAAAATACTTATCAACCTAATTCAGGTATATGTGCATCGCCAGTATGGTTAGCGCTGTTATTCTGATATATCTTGCTTAATTATTTCTCTTACGAGGCACCTTTAACGTTATTGTATCAAGTTTCAAGGTCGGCAATTATTAATCTGGATTTGCTCTGCTACTCAGGCTCAGGCGGTCAAAGAGACCAAGACAATAATTCTTATTTTGGTCCTGGGTTCAGTTTTGCGCAGCTATGGGCTAAGCGAAGAGCTGATTTTGTTAGATCTGGCCAGAGTGACATGGTAGAAAATTTCACTCCTCCTATTGGTGTGAAATTCTCCTCAGAAATGTGCTCTAATCAAGCATGTTCAGAGTCCAGTCTTCCAGAAACCTGTAGCAAAATGTATTCAGACTCCCTTCACGCTGCAAACTTTTCTCCAAGGGATCAATTGTCTGATAATGGTCTAGAGGCATTAACGGAAATTTATAATATTGCTTTTAAAGCTCTAAAAAGAAGAAATGTGGATGAGCCTAGAAAGCGTGGACTTCTTTCTGAACGTGCAGCTTCAATGCTGGTAATCAATTTTCATCTATTTTATACTAATTACAGTACATTCATCTGTCATAGTTTCAGTTTAATAATTTTTACCATAAGGTAAACTACCACCATGGTAGTTGACAGCTTCAAATTACTCATTTGTTGAAACAGTATTTACAATGAGCATAAGTTCCAGTTTATTGGCAATTCCAATATCAACACTAGTTACCACAGGAACTAGTGGTATATTTGTTATGCTGATGCATGCTTATGCTAACCAATGTTGATTAAGATAAGGCTGCACAATTCTTACATGCTAAATTATGCATCTGTGGTCCAATATTGTCTGCTCTTTCTTTCGACAGAAGTTGCTATAAAATGTCTTCAGTTTGTAACTGTTCAACTTTGTTTAAAAATAAAAAAGGCAACTTGTCTGACATACAAAGATAGTTTAGGTAGAGACTAGATATTACGTTCGAGTTTAGGTAGAGACTAGATATTAAGTTCGCACAGAACCAAAAAAAGAATAAGAAAAAGATTAGTGGAATGTCTATATTCACTGTATACCAAAAAAGAATAAGAAAAAGATTAGTGGAATGTCTATATTCACTGTATACCGCTATGTTAGGAATGCTTAACCATTGGAGATAGGATTGATTGGAGAGTATTTGTATGAGTCTAAATTCATTGCACCACTTCATTAGAAATATCTGCCCGTATAATTGGGGCTTTATAATAGAATTGATTGGAGGGTATTGCTATAAATAAGCATGTATTTCTCGTATTAATAAGGGTTCATCTATTACCTTTAGAAAGAAGAGAAATGTAGTTCATCTCTTCTCTCGATATGCATTTACCACTCTATTTGGAATGTTTGATCAGTGGAGTTAAGATTCATTGGAGTGTGTCGCTGTGAGTCTACATTTATTGCACCATTATTTTCGAAAGGAGAAATTTTAATATAGACCCATTCCTAAATTTATTCAAAAATTTCGAATCTATCCCATTTTATTTAGTGAAATTGACCCAGCTTCTACCACGTCAGTTTCGTGGTCAGAAACTGGGTCGATTTCAAAAAACACGGTGACTTAGTTAGTCGGAGTTGATAACCCTGACTAATTAGAACCATATTCTAATTAGTTGGAATTTCCAACCCCGATGCATGCCAAATATTGTCGGGGTTGTCAAACCCCAACAAAATTGTCAGGTTTGGTAACCCCGACTAGTTTGGTTGCGGTCCTAGCCGTTTTCAAGCTCGAAAACTAGTTGAGTCCCCCAAATAGTTGGGGTTGCCCAATCCAGACTATTTGGCAGAGACTTCTGCCAATTTACCAGCTAGCAAATGGCCAAGTCCCCAAATAGTTGGGGTTGCCAACCCCAACTATTTAGCAAAGAACTACCTCCCTCTTCTTGTCTTCAGAAATTCTCCTACTACACATATATCAATCCATAACCGATTTCAATCACAAATAAACACATATACTTGTATCTATATTCCATCCATAACCAATTTCAATCACAAACAAACATCTCATTATCCATAATAAAATTTCAATCATAAACATTTAGTCTAAATTAAATTTTAACCGTAAATATCATAAAAAAACTTAAATCGAAATTTAGCAAATATTAAGAACTCCTCTCTCCCTCGCCCTCACCCTCTTCCTCTTCTTCATCTCCCTTGTCCTCGTTCCCCTTCAACATTTTCGACTATTTAGGGGACTTAGCCATTTTCAAACTGGAAAATTGGCAGAAGTTTGCCAAATAGTCGGGGTTAGCAACCCCGACTATTTAGGGGACTCGGTCAATTTCGAACTCGAAAACGACTGGGACCGCGACCAAAATAGTCGGGGTTGCCAAACCAGACAACTTTTGTTGGGTTTGACAACCCCAACTATATTTGGCGCGCGTTAGTGTTAGAAATTGTAACTATATATGTCATCGTTATTGGGCGACAGCGTAGCGTAGCAGGAAGGGACTGCTAACGCTATTAGCACCGTTATTGTGGGGCTATTTAACGCTATTTATAACAGTGAAAAAATACAAATGTACATGCAAAATGTATGTATTTATATACTATATAGCTTTCTTTTTAACTTTCTTTATAGTTTTTACTTTTTTTAAAACCTTCTATTAAGAGCTTATAGTAAGTATGAATAAGAGACATCTTTTCTTAATAATCTGATGATGCACAAATTTCTAACATATTATTGGAAGCATATTCATCTTCTCATGCCATTATAGTGGAAATTACAGATAATCAATTGTGTTCATTTTGAAATTGGTATAAATTGGTTTTCATTATTCCTCCAGGGTTCTAATGCAAACTTCCTGTGTTTCTTCTTCCTTATCTCTCGCTAACAATTCCTCTTCTCCGATGGCAAACGAGTGATTTGATCTGGCATCAAAGAGACCTACTAGTAATCAATTAATTGTCTCCTTCAACAAATATGTGATATCCACTAGTGAAGCAGTGTATTTTTTATGTTTACATCCATTGATTTTAACACAATAATCGCCTAACTGAGAATTTTTTTAAAATATCTCATATATGAACACCTGTATCACATATATAGAAGAATCGAAGAAAAATTAACAGGTATCATAACCCATCATTTCAGGAAAGATGGATTTAGGATAGAATCGTCCTTTTAATGTTTATTTAACTGATTTTTTAACAGAAAGTTAAAACAGGACTAATTTCACAACTAATAAGGGGTAAGGGTACTAAGTTGAGAAAAAAGTGTGGGTACCAATTTGAGAATGAAGCCCTAATATAGGGACCAAATTGATCTTTCACCGATATAGAATATGCGTACGATAAAGAGTTAGTTACTGGAGCACATATAAAAAGCAGCAAAGTCACTTCCAATATTAGTTCTTCCATGGGGGATTCATACAGGAAGGGTTAAAAGGACATAATATTACATGACTTACGGTAGAGAAACTGTATGTATGAAGGGACATAGTATTACAGGATTCACGACAGAGAAACTATATGTGAAGGTATGAGCAAGACATTTGGCATCGAAAGCCTTGAAATGAAGAACATGCAGACATTTAATGAAGCAGAGAAGTCCGTAGTTGCATATATAATGATTACATAAAAGGAGAAAATCTCCCCCTCTGAAAGTACCCTAGAGGGGAGGGGGGGTGAATAGGGTATTTGCTAATATAATCCAATTTTGATGTCAAATAAAAACTTATTCAACTAATATCCTTGCAAATATGATATCCAATAAAATTATGTGTAAGGATAAACAATGAATAATAGACGATATAAACAATGAGATAATAAGATTGCGTCAAAACAATCACAAACACAAGGATATGTTTACGGAGTTCGGTCAATCCTCGATCTACGTCTCCGCTCCTCACCTCGAGGAGATTCTCCACTATCAATCAACACAACTACACAATCCGGTTTTCAACGTTCATCGAAAACGTTTACAACTCACACGTTAACAATCACACAATTCACTTCTCTAAGTGTTGGACAACTTGTGTCACATTCCTCAAGTGCTTGGAATTACTACATCTCCCTAGGATTTTACAACCAAGCCACCCCTCTTAGAATTAATCCCGTTTTTTCCCAACCACTCCTCCAAGTGTCCTTGTGTATTACAATGTGTTCTCAACAATAATAAGCTCAAATAAATGTTTTATTCTCCAACAAAAATGAGAATGAAATTGTAAACTCACACTTAATGAATCACACCCACAACCCAAATATACTATATGTGAAATACTTAAGCTCAAATGGTTGTGTGTGAATAACGAGTAAAAACAAAATTAAACTCAAGTAAATCTAGCTTGTATATATATATAGATCAAAATGAAGATTAAGGTAGAAAATAAGTTTAGAAAACTTCTCCAAAGAAGACAAAGAGATGTAAAGATTTGATGTTGAACTCCTAAAAAAACGAAGTTGAAAGTTTTCTCTTTGTAAAACTTCTTCAAACAAACAAACACGCTTCATTTTCTCTTGAAAACTCTTAAAACACACCTGCAAAATCTTTCTCTAAACTTCCATAAGTGAAACAAATGAGTTATGAGGCATATATATAGCCTCACAAAAAGAATCAGCCAAAAACTAGCCGTTACAGTCCAAAATGACTGTTATCAGTCGACTTATAACCATGGATCAATCGACAGATGAATTGAAAATACAAACAACTGAAAGAGCTCTGATCGGTCGATTGGTTGCACCTTATCGGTCGACTGAGGAAAGGGTATCGGTAGTGTCAGTCGACTGATAACATGCACGGCAAATTCTGAAATTTTACAAAGCTGATTTTTTAAATTCAATTTAAAATAGCAAATCAACTCCAAAAATAGTAAAATTTTAGATAATATTTCTACACATGAAGATAAACATGTTAGAGAAGAAATTTCTGAAATATCACTTCGCATTTGTGAAAACTCACTATTTTAAAAATAGATATTCCAGATTCTAAAAACTGTTGAACACTTGTTTTGTAAAATCGATTTAACGTAGTAAATCAACTCTAAAAATGATAAAACTTTGGGAAATGTTTATACACATGAAAAAGAACATGTTAGAAAAATAATTTCTCAAATTGCATTTCCCATTTGTGAAAACTCATTTATTTTGCAAGCCGCTCAAAAATACGAAAACGTTAAAACTTGATTTTGATAAAATCATTTCAAGCACGTTTTGACATACTTACAAATAGATTGCAAAGAAATGTGGTCTTTTGGAAACATTTTGCAAATGTGAAACTTTTTGTAAATGAAAACAAAATTTACCCAAATGATTGTTTTTAATTATATACATTGATCAAACATTATTTTTGGAAATTTATTTTTCATTACATATTATGAATTTTATTGACTTTGATGTTGATGAGAGATCTATATTTTAGCAACCCCTCAGATTTATTGATTTTTTTCTTTCAAATCATGTTTATCGGGTGCTAAAAACTTTTATATGGGTTGAAACAAGCTCCAACAGCTTGACATGATCGCCTTTCTAGTTTTCTTATTGAAAATAATTAAATTGATCCTTATGAGTTT